AGTAAAAATTAATCCTTTGTTTAAAACAACCATCAACTTTCAAACAGTCCCAAAAAGCCCACTCTGTAGGCTGTGGAGCTCTAGCAGAGTATAACTATTCTTCTCTATAGCTTTTAACAGTATTTTTGGAAGGAAATCATGTTGCATACTTGCACACTTCATGATTTAGCTTTCCTAATTAAAAACTCATATGCTGTTCAACATTGTGTACTTTCCCATGGTGACTGGTCTGTGGTTATAACACAATATATCTAAAGCTAATTGGAGAATAATTTAACAGCTTGTTTAAAGTAGTAATTGTACATCTCGCAAGATTTAATGATATCCTTATATATCTTTAGTTTCCTTCTGTGAGCAGTATCAGAATCCATCTCAAATCTCAACTCCTCTACTAACAGAACGTTGTATCCAGCTGTATTCAAGAGTCCACAAAGATACCAGCAAATGATTTGTAACACTACATCTCCTGTGGAGGATTTCTTCCTTCTAATAATCTATGTGATGTTTAAATTCCTGTTGGGTTATACACTGCCATTTTTACCAATTCTTTTACAAAAGTAGAAAGAGCTTTTATTTCTCCCAAAAATTCACATACTGCATGCACATTCACCTTAAGACTTCAAACTCATCAGACGGTAAGCTTTTATAAGAGTGGAGATTTATTTTTATACTCTGGGAGTCACTAAGTAGTAGTAGCAGGAAACAGTAAGGCACGCTGATGTAACACACCTGCCTCTAGGTGTTGGACACTTCTGCCTTCTCAAAAACCCGACGTTAGTGCCTTTAAAATCCATGCAGAACACAGTGTCAAGGAGCTTGAAACTCTCAAGCATGTTCAGAGTCCTGCAAGTGTCTCAGGACCTGAAGGAGATAGCCCTGAAAGCAACTACAAAAACCAACCAAACAAAAAGCCCATAGTACAGAAAGCCAACACCTAGAAGAGCAGAAGTGGACGGACATGTCCAGAGATGGGACAAATTTATGAAGAAAAAATATCAGTGTAAAAGAAACAGTTCTTTGAGAGCCTGGTTCGTGTTTAGTTTAGCTCATAGGTAATGAGCCTCTTCAACATGCCTTAATTTCTATGCCAGACCAAAAGGAAGGGGCCAGCCCCTGCAGCCAAAGCTGCCCAGTGTCACTGCCTGTCTTGTGCTAGCACTTGCTTTTGTGTGCAGAAATCAAGTCAATACACGCTTGGCTGTCACACCCCAGAAAGAAGGCAGACTTGGAATTGAATTGGCTGTGTTATCATGGTCTTAGACCAACTACTGTTGGATAAGCAAAAATAAATACTGTTGAAGAATTGATTAAAACCACTTTAATGGAGAGCCATATTAAAAGACAACCCTGACTAAGATCCTAAGTAGGGACTGAGTCAAGACCTGTGGTCAGACTAAAGGGCAAGAGGGACACGCTGCACAGGCAGTGGAAGCATGAAGTATTAACTTGATCTGATTTGATCGGAAGGAAATATACTTTGTTCCATAGTAGGAACAAAAGTAGTAATAAAAAAAACATATCAACACTGTTGCTTAGCCTCACACATCAAAATTGTTTGAATAGCATTATGTAAAATATTCATACAGAATATTTCAATTTAGCTGGCACCTATCAGATGCAATACTCAGCCCTCTGAGACGACAGGAAGAGAAAGCTTTCTTAAAGCATCTCCCAAACAAATAAGCACAGGCCCAGGAGTCTATTTGTTACTATTTTCCAACACACACACAAACAAAGGATGCTGTGTTTTCATTTAATACAATTTGTGTACACTTTGTACAAAAGTTACTATTTCCCAGTTTTCTCACAGCATTTGCACTCTTGATAATGCCTTTCCTCTAAAAATTCCAAAGTCAAAGGACTTCTATGAGTTACCCAAATTCAACCTGTCATTTCAGCCTGACCACTAATTTAATGGAAATGAAGTACCCACTTCTCTCACTGAGTGCCCATATAACAAGACCAATTCATGGGATATAGGCACATCTAGTTTCCTCTTCATTGTTTAGTCCAGCTATTTACTTACGCCAGTTTTCAGCAGCTGCTTTCCCTTGCTTGCAACATAGCTTGCTAAAAGATCAGGACACTTTCGTAAATATTCTCCCTCAATATCTATTTCCTTTCTACATTTAATCACTGCTTCTACTAAATTATTCACTGCTGCTCTCACAGACTCCAGGATCATCTTTAACAGCCTTTCAACTGTTTCCAATGCTGCCACAGTGCAGATTTAGCTTTACTCCTCCAGCTCTTTACCCTCTGCCTGCTTAAGAGTGAATGACGTTTGTTTTTTTTTTTACGTGACCTTTTGGGATGGTTTTCAAATGACCACTGAATTCTTACATGAAAATGTGTTCAATATTGCTCCATTTTCAAGCCATTAGAGAAAAATATGCATAAACTATATTAAACTTTTTATATATAAAGAAAGTTTCAACTAATCAGAATAAAATAAGAAAAGAAGATGCCAGGTCTAGGTTTATACTGTCTCAGAAACCTAGCCTGTTTTTCCAGTGTTCTTTACAAAAATTCTGAAGCAGAAGGAAGCAGCGTGAAGCTCTTTTTATTAACAGTAAGCTTAGCACTCCAACGTCCATTCAATGGAACAGTCCAGAAAGAGTAAACAAGGGGAAATACAGTGGAAGAAGTAAAACTGTTTGGAAGGGGAGAAGAAGAGAGCTCAAAACAGAAGAGAGATCAATTAGCACCACGATATCTTTGTAAGTCCAGGACAGGTATACTCCAGTAGTCATTGCAGCATCTGACAATCACTGCAGATACATCTGTTTAAAGAGTGTTGTTAGGAAAAACAACATAGACTTTTGGCTATATCATACTTTTAAGAGTCTGCTGACACAAGTGCACGTTAGACCAAACTCTAAAAATAATTGCGTAACTTTCTCCCATTTTTTGCTACTGCTAGCACCAAAAAGGTGGCACTGAACGAGCTTATCTTCCAACACCTCAAGGTTTTTCAAGAACTACCCGTCAAAATTCGTTTGAAGTAGTTTTCATGCAAATAAACTGCTATGTTGTTTAAATAAACTTACCTTCCTACCTGGGTAAGTCTGCATTCAGGTTGCTGTGTAGAAGTCATATCTAGAGTCAGAACATGTCCAAAACCCAATTCCAGTTTAAGTTACTTTAGAATACAAGACATTAATGGAGTTATGTAATTGCTCAGTACTAGTTTAATCAAGAAATGCCGGGAAATAATCACCTCAACAGATCCAGGAGGAAGGTAGTTCATCAAGCATATTCTCTACAGTGCATCCATGTCTGGAATAGGAAGGAAAATGAGCCACACAAGCATTTCTAAAAGACAATCTTCGTTGCTGTTGTTGAAGGAAACATACTATTGTCGTCTTTTAAGCCGGCAGTCAGCAACTAAGCACCAGACAGCTGCTCACTCACCCCTCCCCTTCCTCTTCCCCTGCCCTCCAGCAGGATGGGGAGGAGAATGGACAAAACATAGAATCAAAGAATCATAAGTTGGAAAAGATCTCCAAGCTTATCATGTCCAACTGTCAACCCAACACCACCATGCCTACTAAACCGTATCCTGAAGTGCCACATCTACACACTTTTTAAACGCCTCCAGGGATGGTGACTCCACCACCTCCCTGGGCAGCCTGTTCCAATGCCTGACCACTCTTTCAGTAAAGAGATTTTTCCTCATATCCAATCTAAACCTTGAGGCCATTGCAAAAGATGAGGGTACAGCTCTTCCCTAGGAATTCCAAGACAGGACAGCTAGCTGGCGGTTAAACTCGTAAAACTCATGGGTTGAGATAAAGACAGTTTAATAAGGCAACAAAGGAAAATTACTAATACTACTGATATTACTAATGATAATAATGAATATGGAAAACAAACTACACACAATTTTCTCACCACCCAACAACCGATTTACAGCCAGTCCCCAAGCAGCAATCACGGAACCCCAGAAATCACAAATTTCACTAAATCCTCAAAAGAAGTTGGAACTCCCAGACAACAGAGGAAAAGAGAAGAGCAGACAGCCTCCTGCCCCCTCAGCCAACCCCCATTCATAAACTGAGCAGATGTCCATAGTATGGAATATTTCCACTGACCAGCTTGGGCTACCTGCCTGGCTGTGCTTCCTCCCAGCTCCTGCTCACCTGCTCCTTAGCTGAACATGGGAGACTGGAAACAGTCCTTGATTTCTTGGCAACAACCAAAACCAGTGATATCAACATTCTTCTCGTACTAAATCCAAAACACAGCAGCTATTGAGAGGAAAATTAACTCTATCCCAGCTGAAACCAGGACAATGTATGAATGATTAGGGATAGAACATGTGCATGTGTGTATATTGCAGAAGTTCTTGTCTTATCTCAGGGTAAACCTCACTGAAGCTGGTTTCTTGAATGATTAGGGATAGAACATGTGCATGTGTGTATATTGCAGAAGTTCTTGTCTTATCTCAGGGTAAACCTCACTGAAGCTGGTTTCTTGTTCCACTCAAGAATGACACTTAGGATAATAAGATCTTGGTTTTAAGAACTACAATAAGATTAAAAACTCCTGTGTGCCCAGAAATGAAGTAAAGCCAAAGGAAAATTATTTTTTCCTTTTCTGGAGCTCAGAAAGCTGTTAAGCGGCAATGCCGATCAAACAGAGTGCACTTGACCTGACACCACTAAAACAATCTCCTTGCCAAGAAAGAAAACAGCAATGAAAACCTGCGGGACCCT